TCCTTTCCCTTTCTCTGCTTGTTTTGATGACTTGTTTCCTGCCTCTCACCCTGTTCATGCTCCCTCCTTGGGTGTAAGCCCTATTCCTTCTTATTTTCCTTCTATCTCTCTTGCTTCCACTTTTTCTGTTCCTTCTGTTTCCACTCCTTCTTCCTCCTCTTCTGCACCTTAATCTTCCTCATCTCATTCTCCTGTTTCATCATCTCCTTCTCCTGCTTCTCCTCATTTGAGAAGGTCCACTAGGGAACAGAAATAACCTGCCTATCTTCAAAGTTATGTCTGTAGCTCCTCCTCAGGTGAATCCACCTCTGATCCTCCACCTCCTATTTCTAGTCAGTTGCATGTTCTTGAGCCTTCATCTTATTCTCAGGAAGCAGTTGTTCCAGAATGGCAGGCTGCCACGAGAGCTGAATTTGAGGCTTTGGAAGCTAACAACACATAGGAGGTTGTCCCTCTACCTCTTGGGAAGAAGGTCCACTAGGGAACAGAAATAACCTGCCTATCTTCAAAGTTATGTCTGTAGCTCCTCCTCAGGTGAATCCACCTCTGATCCTCCACCTCCTATTTCTAGTTAGTTGCATGTTCTTGAGCCTTCATCTTATTCTCAGGAAGCAGTTGTTCCAGAATGGCAGGCTGCCACGAGAGCTGAATTTGAGGCTTTGGAGGCTAACAACACATAGGAGGTTGTCCCTCTACCTCTTGGGAAGAAGCCTATAGGCTGCAAATGGGTCTACAAGGTTAAATATAAAGCTGATGGTAGCATTGAAAGGTATAAGGCTAGGCTAGTGGTTCGGGATGATACTCAAGTTGAAGGTATTGATTTTTATGAAACTTTTTCCCAAGTTGTAAAAATGTCTACTGTCAAAACTCTTGTTGCTGTGGAAGTAAAGACGGGATGGCCCCTATTTCAATTGGATGTTAATAATGCTTTCTTGTATGATGACTTGGTTGAGGAAGTATATATGAGGCTTCCTCCTGGTTTGTCTGTTTCTTCCCCACCTTCTTCTTCCCCTTTAGTGTGCAAATTGCAGAAGTCTCTTTATGGTTTGAGGCAAGCATCCAGGCAATAGTATGCCAAACTATCGCAAGCATTACAGTCAAGAGGGTACCACCATTCTTTCAATGACTATTCTCTATTTACTAGGGGTTCAGGTGATTCTTTGGTTACTATAGCTGTGTATGTGGATGACATTGTCTTAACTGGGACTGATTTGCATGAGATTACTGCTTTAAAGTACTTTCTACATGACCTATTTAAAATCAAGGATTTGGGGCTGCTTAATTATTTTCTTGGGATTGAGATGCTATACACTCCATTCAGGGTTTTCCTTCATCAGAAGAAATTTATCAATGATTTGCAAAAGGAGTTTCATTGTGATGTTTGTACCCCTACTGTCTGCCCTCTTGAATTGAATGAGAAATTAAAGGCCTCTGTTGGTGAGCCTTTTCCCAATCCTAAAGTCTACAGAAATCTCATACGGAAGTTAAATTTTTTCACTCTCACCAGGCCAGACCTCTCACTTGTTGTGCAACACCTTAGCCAATTTATGCAGAAACCTTGTGTTCCTCATACGAAATCTGCCCTCCACCTCCTGAGGTATCTGAGTGGTACTTCTGATCCTGGGATTTTTCTTAATAACTCCTCATATTTTTCTGTTCAGGTTTATTGTGATAGTGATTGGGGATCTTGTCCTGATAGCAGAAGATCGGTGACGAGTTTCTGCATCCTGTTAGGTGGCAGTTTGGTTTGCTGGAAATCTAAGAAGCAGCCGGTTCTCTCTCTTTCTTCAGCTGAAGCTGAATATAGGTCTTTGAGCAAGGTTGTGGCAGAGGTTACATGGTTAGCTAGACTTTTGGTTGACTTTGGCATTACTGATCTCTCTTCTATTCCAGTTTATTGTGATAACCAGGCTGCAATTCACATTACTAAGAACCATGTGTTCCATGAAAGGACCAAGCATATTGAGCTGGATTGTCACTTTGTTCGCACCAAGCTGGCTGATGGTTTGGTTACCCTGCTCCATACTTCCAGTTCCACTCAAATGGCTGATGTATTCACCAAAAGTCTGCCTGGTGCTGCCCATCATTCACATTTGTCCAAGTTGGGGTGTTTTATCACACTCCAACTTGAAGGGGGGTGTTTGGATAACAGAGTGTAATGCTGATGTGGGCTAGTCTTGTTAGTTGGGTTGTATCTTATAATTGGGCCTGGCCCAATTTGTATTTATGCTTTCATTTTTAGATAGTTAGTAGCTTAGTTAATTTGGGTCACTACCGGGTCATATATAGTATGGGCACTGTCTCATTTGTACAGATAAGAGAAAAAGATTTCTTCTTCCAAAATAATAACTCCCGATTCTCTCTAAGCTCAGTATAAACCTTAACCATTGTTGCTCAATTCGAGCTTTAATTTTGCATTTCTAACAACCCATTTCTGATGATAGCAATCAGCACTTTGCAATCAACATCCTTTATTACAAAAAAAAAAAAAAGATATGATGTTTAATTTGGTTTATTATTCAGTAAACAGATACAATTGATTAGTTTCTTTTTGCTATAAAAAATGATCCAAATTAAATCACGAACCCCCCTAATTTAAGTTTGGCACTGAGAGAGTATAATTACTTAAGTAATAGTATGTGTT